TAAAATCAACTATGCAAGCAGCGTGTTTTCATAAAAATACACCATTTTTACAAATATTCACTATAATATATAAATAGTAACAAACACGGCCGCATTGTGGGGTACAGTACAAAAGAGATGGTAATTTACCATATTTTCAAATAACATTTATTCAAACGGTTTTAGATTTTTGAAATATCTTTATATATATATATATATTGTTACGATCTTCTCCTACTATCCAGGCTCGAATCTCTTCAAACTGCACCACACGACACAACGAACTTAAAGAACCTCACAACTCAGGGCTCCAAAGTAACAGTCAGTTTAATTTCAAATAGGCTACATCGCAATTGGTAACAACATTAACACTGTCTTTACAAAAACCTAGTCTTGCTCCGCCTGACTTCACACACCGTGCTGGTTCTAGCCTCGTACTGGTCACATAGCGAGGTAACGTGAAGTAGTCTTTCTAACACACTCGCTCTTATTTAGTGTCTCTACTGGCCTACTCGAACCCTCTTGACCACTCCAGTTGATCACCTTCGCCGTGACTTGCGTGCGTAATATTTACGACACTGGTCCTTGCCGAACTGGCGTGTACTGTCACTGGTCTCGGTTGACCGCTCGTCCTGCGTCGATTTGGGTAGGCTAAAAACACACAGCACTACCCCCATCTGTTTCACCACCAGGTTTACAACACTATATATATATATATATATATATATATATATATATACAGGGCCGCCGCAAGGGCTGTGGCCGCCTGCGTGCGAAATAAAAAAAATGCCGCCCTCCCCTTTTTTTTCTAGAAAAAAAAAATCTCATTAAGACTGAGCTGGACACTGTTTCAAAAGTGTCCTTTGATTTAAATGCATTTTTTGTAGAACATTCCATTTTTTTATTTCATATTCGCACAGTTGTTGTACCTCAAGTACAACTAGGAATCATATGCACTAAGAACAATGTCGGATTTACGTACATTCAGAAATCTGACTTTTTGGTTCTTTGTGATAAACATTAAAAAACTGATCTCGTTCTGGCTACTCGCTTATGCTTTCTGTATTTGCGACTATTATAATTGATGAGTTGCGGCGGGTATATCACAATGACTAGTGTAAATAATAATGATCTATATACAATTTCTCGATAACTTTGACTGCTCAACATTGTTAGGATATGCTAACTTGTTTGTTATTGTAAGTAAAAGGATAAGGCGAAAAACAAAGCTCGAAATACAAATTCTACTGAGGTGGAAATGTTTCAATGCTCCGTATTATTTCATAATAATGACCTCGTTTGTATTTTGGAGAGATCTGCATTGGATCCACAATCTCTGACATACACAGATTCAGAGTTGTCTGCAAATTTATCAAACAAAGGAAGCAACTCAGCGCTGAATATTTTCTAGAGTCAAATACAAAGTAAATAATCCAAAGTACAAGTCACTTATACAATGTCTTGAAATAAAAAATAGAAATAAGGCAGTGTTTCTCACATTCCCGGGTGGCGACTCCCTAGCTAACAACATTTAGAAGCTGGAGCCCAGAGGAGCGATGTAGGCTTCCACAGTGAGGTGCGTGAGATTTTTTAAGAATGTAATAAAAAAAAGTAAAGAAATTTAGTCACAATTTTTAGTTGTTTTTTTTTCATTTATATTATTTAACATTGCAAAGATGTCATGAAAGCTCACTAAAACTTTTTTTGTTTCGGAAATTGTTTTGCCTATATATTTTGTAAGCGTTGTAAAAAGTTTTTCCCAGAGATAGAATTGAAAATGCGGCAGGTTTCCGCTCAAGTCGGCAAGGGGTCTGAACATTTTTTCGCCGCCGCTCCTCCCCCCCCCCCCCCCCCCAATTTGTTGTTGGTCGGTATTTGGCTTGTAACTCCAGACAGCTAGTATAACTGAGTCGATGAATGCGTTATATATTTCTTTAATTAAAAAAAACGTTAAATAACTTGAACAAACGTCTTAGTGAACAAAGACTCAATATAACTGTTCACGATTTAACTTGAGATGAGACATAGATCTAATATTTATTAAATAAACTGATATTCAAACACAATCTAACTCAAAACAAATAAAAAGTCTTTAGTCTTTCATGTCTTCAGATCGTCTCACATTTGTACAAGGTACGTTAATTTCATCATTGTCACTGCATAACCAACCAATCAATCGCTTAATCTCTTCTCACCGCCGCCTAGGAAACACACACACTCCATAACACCCTTTTTTGTCAGGACGTTGCGCCCTCCCCCTCCATATGAGAGGAACTAGCGCCCCCCCCCCGCTTTTAGTGAAAATGTTTTTAAAATTGACTTTTTAATTACCGGTAATAGATCTACTTACAAGGCTCATTCGACTCAAAACAAATATTAAAAACTACACGCGAAAATTCAAGGCCAGAAATGAGGCGCTTATATATAAACCCGTGGGAATCCCTCACACGCTGTTCTATTTTTCTTTGGTTCTAGTTTCCAGAATAATTTCTTATGTACGAATATCGTTTATATTTTCAAAGGATAATGGAACAATTAGAATTTATATAAAATATTTAAGTAATTTTGTTTTTAACTAAATTTGTTTAAAAAGTAACTTTGGAATAATGATTTGGCCGCCCCCTAAATTCGGCAGCCTGCGTGCAATGCACACATTGCACAATAGGTAGCGGCGGCCCTGTATATATATATATATATATATATATATATAGGCCTACAATTGTATTGCAAAGTTATATAAGTTCTGTCATACTAACTACTACATTTACAAAAACAATGTTTACTTTTTGTTTAAAGAGAAAAAATCTATTTAGTATGCATATAAGTGAAACATTATAAAAAAAAAAGCAATTAATAAGTAGTTTGGCATATTATCGCGTGAACCGTAGAGTGTTGATATAGCAATGGAACACTTAACTAAAGGAATTATTTATTTTTTTACGGAAATGTTTTTTTTTTCTTGAGGCTTTGAATAAGAGATTGACCCTTTACAAAACAATTAGGCCTACATCAATTAGATAATCATTATAACACATCAGCTAGTCCAGGTTCACATCGAACCTTACATTCACGTTCACCTACCCCTTGGTCTGCTGGACCGCTGGGGCACCACTCATAATCTGTCAACATTCTTTCTCCATTCTTCTCTGTCATTTGTCTTTGATAGAATTTCATTCTGATATTCTTTCTGAAAATATTGAATCCTGGCTTTTTACCTGCCTGGGTGGACCACTTCGGGGGCCGATTCTGAGTTTCCACACAAAAACTGTCTTTGTAACTTTTTTTTTTTTATCGAATCCCATTAGAAAGCAATAAGGTTTTAGCTGTCAGACTCTGACGGTTAGAGATTAAAAAAATAAAAAGCGCTAGATCTATATAATAGATCTCTATATCTAGAGACTGACAGAAGAGAGCTCCTGGTTACATGCGGCCTCAGAACGAGACAGCTGGAGCTCACTAACAAAGGCCGCGAGATACACATTTGAGACCTAAAGAAAATCCGCTGCCGATGACAGACGTAGACGGCGCAAAGAAAATCTAAATCGACCACCGGCGGACAATAGTTTTGCAAAATATGTAGATCACAGCTGGGGCTGCGTAGCCACGGGAAATACTGCATTCCTCATTAATCTTCGGACTTGAAGACTAGCCTAATTATGATTATATCTAGATTTAGCTATAAAATTAGATCTCCCCATTTCTTTAATCGCACTCAAATAGATTTAGATGCACAGGTAGGCCTACTTTTAGTCTTTCGGAAGCGTGCTTATTTTTTTTTAAAATGAAATATGCACATTAGTAGGCTTACACTGGCGAAAGATGGAGACATCAACCCCCCCCCCCCCCCGGGCCCCAAAATTATAAATTTGCCACTTTTCGATAATTAGGCCTATTTATATGCCTACCTAATTGTGCGATTCAGAATTGTGATTAAAGCTTTTGGCTTGACCGTTATAATTGTTCAAAATATTTTTTTAAATATATCATTCATTAGTTATTGAGAAAAATGTAGTCACTCTAACAGAAAGTCAATCAGCTTTATCATTATCACCAGTCCCTTGACTTTCATTGTAAGGGTGCTGTGACAGTTCGCTAACCAAACCCCCCCCCCCCCCCAAATTTTTTTTGTGATAAACCCCCCTCATCAATATAAGACTAAATCTTACAAAAGTCATCAGATACTATGAGGGTAGCTCAGAGGGGTTTTGTGTTTAAAAACTCACTCTAGAGGGCTTTAAGTTACGCGTAGGACGTAATCATCTTCTTTTTTGAAGTAACGTCTGTATTATATAAGTTAAAACCTCCTCCAGGGAGTTTCGATTTTAAAACCCCTTTCAGCAGGGTTTGTAGCAACAAAACACTCTTCAACATAAAACTAAAGCAAACTACACAAAAAAAATTCTTAAGGGCCTAGCCCCCGACACAGGAATTTGAGTTAAACCCCCCCACCCCCAAACTACAGATAGTTTTGAGGTTAAAAACCACCTCTTCAATATTATTCTAAAGCAAACTACAGTCACCAAATTCTATGAGCGTAGCTAAGGGGGTTTGGAGCTTGTTTAAAAAAAATAACCTCCAGAGATTTTTTAGTTTAAACCACCCCCCCCCCCCAACAGATGGTTTTTGATGATAAAACTTCCCTTTTTGTATATAAAATCTAAAGAAAACGAGTCACCAATTCCTCTTTTTCTTTAGCGAAAGTTACGTTGAGTAACTCTAGTCCGACTTGCAGAAACAAAAGTCATCTTAACTTTTTTCATCGAGGGCTAGAGAGTCGGCGTGCGTGCGTCTTGTCCCGCATGTTTGGACGACGTCGAGAATTATATATACATATTATTAATTCAGCAAAAAGTCTGCTAAATTCTATTCTGACACTGTGAACAAAAAAAAAAAATTATTTTAAAAAACTCCCAAAAATAGTTGAAACACTTTTTGTTTGACCTGACTCCCAACACACAGATCTACACTCAACTAAAAATAAACATAAGAAACAAAATAAACCAGCAAAAAAAAAAAAAAAGATTTTTTTTTTCTCATTAATATTTTTAATATTTTATAATGAAAAGTTGTTTCTGTGGCATAGTTTATTGCAGAACTGAGTGAAATCAGTTGAAGACACATGAGCCCGATAGACCAACGATTAAGAATGAGTACAACAGTGACAATGATTGAATGATTACTATACAAAGTGTGACATCAGTGACAAATGAGCTTACAGACAGATACAGAGAGGCTCCATACAATGACATTGAAATTGCATTCAACTTCTCAATAATTGTTGTACCACAAAAAACTGAGCAAATTTTGAACATTGTTTTTTGTTTTCAGTTGGCCTGGAAGAAAGAGGAGAAAAAAAACAACAACGTCTGAAAGAACACACAAAGGTATACATGTTCTACACACAAAGGGGTAAATGTTCTACACACAAAGGTATGTCCACTTTTGTAGGCAAAATAAGAAAAACAAAATGTGTTACTTGACTTGATACAAGATTTTTGAACAACAAAAAAAAAAGATACAAAATGATCTTTTGGTAGAAACTTAACTTTGTGAACTGGTAAATAAAAAAAAAAAAACTTAAATGATAGAAACAAACCATCAACAGAATTTCCTAAGTTCAACAATGGCATGAGTCTGAATAAAGAAACTAACAACAAAAAAACAAGTTGAATAATTGTAAGGGAATGAAGGGTACACAAGAGAAACAAATAATGTACATGTTTTAATGTCCCAGTTCAATTTCAAAACTACGATTTTATCCCTTTACTATCATCAGATGGCTAATGATATTTTTTGTAGGTGGTGTACACCCCCCCCCCCCCCCCCCCCCCCAGCTTTTGAGAAAAACACACACACTTTTCCATAGCTTCTATTGTAGGTAACATGAATCCATGAGACCTTGTATGGTTAAATTTTGAAAGAAATATAAGACAATGAAAGTGACCAGTGCTTTAATTTAATTTTTTTTTTAGACCCGCTATTTCAGCATATTTTTACATTAGGCCTACTTTACTTTGAATATTATATCCATTCAGATCAAATTTCTTAACTAAGGGTTTAGGCCTATTGGTAGGATAACAGTTACAAAATAAAATGTTCTCTAACAAAACAAAGGCAATTTCTTTACAGAACAATAACAACACACCCAGCTAATTTATTTGTAGAAGCACATTAACCCAAAGCATTCCTAATCTCTTAATCACTACAAGCAAAAGTTTGAATTCTCTCAGGTGTTAGGCAGTAGTGGATTACAAATCTTACAAAGCAAAGAAAAAGAAAAGCTCGAGGAAAAAAAAAACCTACACAAGTCATTAACACAGACACATTTTTCAGAATCAATGACCCTGTATGCCAAAAGAAGTTTGTAAATACAGACAGACAATAGTACAAGGGGAAAAACTTTGCATAATGTTTGCATTTTTTAAAGTCCACATTTGAAGAGTATCTGACATGTAGATTTAGGAAATTCACAGAAAAGGTTGATTGAAAAACAGAACAAAACAGCCATATTAAAAAAAAACCCCACTTGAACTAACAAAGGCACAGCAAAAAAATAAATATAAGTAAATATTATATATATATATAAATATAATTGTATCAATGAGTGAACTGCTATAAGTGTATTTGTATATAAATTGTATAATGTGTATGAGCTTAAAGTGTGTTTACAAAACAGATAGGATATGACCAAGTTGTACATGACCAAGTTGTACAAACACATCATGAAACTAAAGAATGTCATTCAAGTCTTACTTGAACTATTGTAAATAAACTATACATTGAAGGTTTTATAAATACATTCTTTTGAAGGATTAACATGAAATAAAACTAATTGGATATGTGAAGTCAGCTGTAAACATAATAAATAGAAAGTCTTCAGCTAATAGTGTAAATAATTCAATCATAAACAAAAGCTCCTCCTTTTGAGATCTTAGAAGTTGATATGAAAGATAGACAAGATTTTGCAAGCACAAGTGTCCTAACTAATATTTAATACCCAATAGATTCACAATGGCTTGACTCAGAATTATTTCTCCAACTTTGATTTTCTATTAAGAAGATCAGCTTCTGTAGCAGGGGGCCTCTAATCTGCAGCTAAGACGTACAACTTCCTAAATAAAAAAACAGACAAAAACAAAACAAAAAAAATTTGCCAGAGTCATTCAGAATGCACAAACCTTCTTTAATGCAAACATTGGGATGACCTTTTTTCTGTTTAATTTAGAAACCGGTACCAGTACAAACAATTTCTCACAGCCTTGACATACAAAATATTATGGAAACCTTGATTTCACAGAGTTGATAATCTCTTGTTAGTACCAGTTTGAACTTTTTGCATGTATATTAAACAAACTATTCACACACAAGTTTTGTCACACAAAGAAGCCAAAAAATGGAACAAAAAATTTCTCTTTTAAAAATTATATATATGAAAAAAAAGATTCTTACTAAAAAAAAATTGTGGTTTATAATTTTTTTTTGTTTTATTTTGATTGACACACATTTTCTTTTTGAAAATATGGCTACATTAGGATTGTCACAACTCTTTGATAAATAAGATTATACAGTACAAAAGGAATAATTGGCTTAACTGGGAAATATTTAGATTGAACAACCATGTGTACAGTCACTAATTATATGTCACCTTTTCACTGATAATCAATAAACTGAAAGATAAATAACTACAAACTTAACCACAAAGCCAAAAACAAACTATTATTTGGCAATTTTATAAATAACATTACTGTTTATCATAAATATAACACAAAAAACAACAAAATAAATCAAATTAAAAATTAAATCAATCATTCACTTCACTAACCATGAACAAAGCCAACATATTACTATATTAAGTATAGTGGGTTGTTGGTAGAACAAAAGTATGAGAGAGATAGAGTTATAAAGTTGAATGTTCCATTGAATCAAATAGATGAGAGATGCTGGTCAAGAGACAGAGCAATGCCATATATAATAACAAAGTGTTAACTTGGTCTACTTTGGTCCAACAAATGAGCTGGAATCATTCAATGAACTACCAACCAATAAAACAAATAAAGTAAGCAACATAACAACCAACAATTTCTTGCCAGCAATTCAGATGCTACAACATTTTGGTCATCTATAAATAGCCCTCCCAAAAAGTTATTTAAGATTGAACTGAAACCTACTGCTATATACTGGAATGTTTAAACAAAATAAATCAATAAATAATCCTTTAACTCTTTCTCTCCTAATTGACGATGCCAACGTTGTATAAAGAAAAAAACAAGAATTCCCATATAATTCGATACCAAATATAACATTTTCTGATAACAAACAAAAAAGTTATTAAAGTTAAATCAAATCAGGATAGTGAAATACAAATAAGCAAAATAAATAATTCTATCGGAATGAGGAAAATAATTACAGAGAGAAAGAGTTAAGGTCCCTCTTGCCATCTCACTCAGCCCTCAGAACATAGAACTAACATCTTTTTACCAGAAGTAGAACCTCAATTCAAGTCCTCAGTTACAATTGATACAGTGTACATATTTATATAAATGATGTATGTTTAGAATAAGGAAAAAGAGACTGTGTATCATATTAGGGGTGAAATAATTCACTGCAGTTGATTACAAATCCAGGACCATCGTGTGACTCATGCTCCTTGACAATCAACATTTATTTTTAACTTGTAACAAAAAGTCTAACATTTTAATTGAGTAAATAGAATACATTTATGTAAAACAATTGATATGATTATTTCATTAAATATAGATTGCCCATATCAGAATCATGATATATTACTGCTGTACAGTTTCACCCCTAGAATACACTATACCCGATTATTGAATGATTAATGCTAGGAAATATTGAAAAAAATGTTTTTAAAATTATTAATTTTAAAAGGAATGTTAAATTGAATACACTGTTTATAATATTTATATAAAAAATAAAAATCATAAATTTTTGATTGAAATTTTCATGAGCCTTAATGGTCGAACTAATCAAATACAATAACAGGAAGTGGATCTCTTCAATTCATATAGGTTACAGAAAGAAGACCATATCCTTTGTCACAAAAATGAAACAAATTGATCATATCTATTTAACGATCATAAGATATTGTGTAATATAAGACTATATAGTAACTCCAAGCATTCAATGTTAAAAAAGTGGTAAGTACTAGAGTGAATATGTACAGACACTTGCTGAGACAGCTCTAAGTATGCAGACACATGTACACTGAAAATCAACTCCCCAAAGCAGTACTTCTCAAATTTACAATGCATTTACATGATCCTATATATATGTTCATCCCTTGTGTTGGACACTTATCAAGACAAACAAGCCAGCCTGTCCATCTCCCTTCCAGTAAAGTGGTAGAATGAGAGGTGTCCCAACTCAAGGCTTTCTCTGTCTATTGAGATTGTTTAACATAAGACTAATGTAGGAAGTCAGCAGGTCATCCATTTTGTAGCCCTGCAGAGAAAAGAAATTGTTTATTTTATCACACTGGAAAATATTTAGCCCTAAACATTTTTTTTTTCCTTCAAAAGTTTATGAACATATTTCTTTAGTACCATTAGCAATTGCACAAGACATTCACATTTAACTAACAAGCACACAATATCTTGCAGTGTACCTCATTGCTGAACTCTAGGATAAGAAAAGCTGAGACACAACACAGAAAAACACCCCACAAAACAACACACTTAAAAGACAACCTTAGTTTACAGATAATAAAAACATTAGCAAAAAAAAAAAAAAAAAAAAAAACCCAACAACTTATATATGAAATTAAAAAAATAAATGGGATAACAGACCCCAAAGGTTTTAGTGGAAAAACTATTTAAAAAAAAAAAGTCTTAATTTTCACACTACACTAAAGCTACACACCATTGATGTTTCACACAACAGTTTGCTTCCTTTGACTAAATTACCAATAGTCATATGGAAATATGTATTGCCGCTGCTCCAGTTGGAGATCTTTGAGAAGGGATGAGTTGCCAGTAATTCCTTTGGAAGGAAAAACAAACAGGTTAGGTTTTGTTTTTTTACCGTCATGGAAACTGATTTATGCAAAATATATAGTTTCTATTTATTTTTTGATAATTTCAAAATTCATTTATACAAAAAGGAATGCCAATGAATGAATATCTAGTTTCTAAAGCTCACATTCTTGAGCTTTTAGGTTTAGAGAAGAAAGGATGGCATCAAATAGTGATAATTATGACATAAATAAATCTGTCAATTTGTTAAAAATTCCAGAGAATAATCTTTTTTTTTGTAAATTATTAAATATATAAAATTTAAAATACTGTATAACTGGCTACAAAGGGCTTCATATAAAAAGAAAGATAGGTTAACTAAGTTTACACATGAACAAAATATTTATAAATGTTAAAAACAGTTTGTTTTAGAAGTATTTAAGAAACATATTTGATCTAAATAACACAAAGTACCTTAGTTTGAGGATGGATTAAATTGACTCCATTTTTGTTGATAGCAATCAGGAGATTTTCTGGATAGTTGGGTTCAGTTGTTTGCTAGAAGCAAAAAAAAAACAATGAGAAATACAAGTACAAGAAAGTACTTGGACATATACTGGCATTAATTGATTAATTTTCCAAGTGTTTAATGTGCAAAGTTCTGTACTATGTAAGACCAATTTCTAGATAGAAACTACACTCACTAACTAAAACTGTCATAACTGTTTGATATATCTCAGGTTGCTGATGAAACCATGAACTAAGTCAACCTTTACCATTATGAGGTCAAAAGGAGTGGATTACTCAGTATTTGGATTTTTAGTTATATTATACAAAACACAGAGCTAGTGCTGAAACATAGAAGAAAGCTATTTGAAATTCTAGCTGAAGATTGGCTCTCTAATGTACCAGTAGTTATGTGTCATTATTTATTAAGTTTTATGGTTACAGTTAATGCTTAAACAGCTGGCTTAGCAGGTTGACGTTATAGTGCTTTTAAAAGAACATTTAGAATGAAAACAATTTTCTTGAGTGTGTTTTGTGAAAAATATTTTGTGAAAATGATGGCCACGGTCTCACAATAATTTGATGACATGTTAATGTCCTTTAAAGAAAAAGAAATGTTGCTTTTTTTTGCTGTCTATGTATTTCCTATTTTTAATTCTGAGATTTTTGTTTCTATACAAGAACAAGCCATAAGAGTTGCCTCACCTTGACATCGAAAAATGCTGAACCAAAAGTTGGCCAGTTATAAATGAGTTTCAGGAAATCAATCTTGGCATCATTTGAAGACTTCCCAGCATCTTTATTGTAGTAAGCTATAATGTTCTGTTAGAGATAAATTAATGGGATGAATAAATTCTGTGCTAAATTGACTTTTTTATTGTCATGTATTTTCTGTAAATAGAAATCTGCTAGTATTTGAACCCCCTAATGCTCTCTTGGTATGCACTAATCAGAGTTTATACAAACAGAGGAGCTGGCATACTAATTAAATGGGCCAATAAAGATAATCTAGAAAAGTCCATTTCAACTGGTGATCTTTTGA